CAGCGAGAATTGGTTAATCAGTGTTATACAAATTAAAATCGTATACACTTCATGAGCCAAATGAAAAAAGTAAACTAATTACTTGAAAGTAATTGAAAAAAGTAAACCACTTCACAAGCATATTAACCAATTTCTTGAAGGACAAAGAAGAAAAATTGGTAGAAATAATATTATAAGATGATAAAATAATTATTAGCCTGTTTGGCCAAGCTTTTTTTTTTTTGGGGTCAAAAGTGTTTTTTTTTGTCAAAAGTGCTTTTGGCCAAAAATTGAGGTGTTTGGCCAAACTTTTAGAAAGAAAAAAATGCTTTTGAGGAGAAGCAAAAGGAGATTTTGAGAAGCAATATAGCTTCTCTTCAAAAGTACTTTTTTGAGATATATTTTTTGAGAAAAAATACACTTAGAAGCAGTTTTCAAAAGCTTGGTCAAACACTAATTACTGCTCAAAAGTATTTTTTAAATTAATTAGTCAAATACAAACCGATTATCGCCTAAAGTATTTTTTTGAAAAGCACTTCTGTAGCTTTTAGAAGCTGGTCAAACATGGTATATAACTAAGTCAAAAATCAATTAAAATCTCGACTCTTTGATTTGTTATTGTACACGTGGCCAATGTCCAGTAATACATTGAAAATTGCTGGATGAAACACTACTGGAGTCGGCAGGGGATTTTTTTCCCTGAAATATATATCCACTTTTTGGATATACATTTCAACTAAAATCTCAAGATTCTTTAATGATATTTTAAGAAATTTGCGTATTAATTATCACAACTTTGCAACATTTAGTAAAATGAAGGGGAAATAAAAGTATATCGCGCACACACTATATTCTTTTATTTAATAAAAGAACACATTAATTACTCTCCTATCATATCAACAATGGAAGATTTGATTCCTCAGCTTGTAAATTAGGCCTTCGATTACAGATCCTCCCATATATATCATAGTAACGACATAGGTTACAGCTCATACTAATATAGCAATCTTCGTTTCGCCCCACAGTTTCCACCTTGAGATAGTTTGGCTGCAAATGGTAGTAAATCCTTAGGTAGATCTCGTAAGGCCATCATATGAATTTTCGTGGAGCAAAATGGATTAGCTGCAAATCATAATTAATATATCCAAAATCGAATTTAGAAAAAAAAATAATAATACAAAAGACACACAAAATATTTTTAAAAATCATTCATGTTAAAATAAGTTACCAGCAATAAGCACAAGGAGAGTGGTGAAAAGGATAGCAAGTTTTCCAGACATGTTAATACTACTAGTTTTAGACTTTGAGGTTGATAAGAGTAATTAGTATAAGGGCGGTAATTTATAAACTTTTTTCAAGATATTTCGCAAGTGCTACTACTACTATTATTTTATTGAAAGAGTACATAATCCTCTTTTTAATAGTACTCCTGAAATTAGATGCGATCCAGAATCGAAAGCTAATGAATTCAAATTTATCCTTAATTAATTATATCGTTAAAATTATTGATTCAAAATTAATATTTATTTAAATTTTAATAAATTTTTATATATATATTTATACTGCATATCAAAAGTTATAAATTCAGACGAACTCATAATCGAAAAATTAAGTCCGCACTGCTTAGAATTACAGTGATAGAGTGAAGTTCCATGATAAATATCAGAATCATTTACGATGAACTCCATGCGAAGAAACCCACACTTGTCGGATCTTGCCTCAGGAAATGTGGTATTCAATGTTAAATCGACACATATTTAATGGGAAATGGGAGAGGCACCTTTTGGATTGCACCTCTCCATCTCATCCATTTTTTGTCTATAAATTTAAAGGTTTGGTCTCATTTTTTAGATATGGAAAATCTGAAATTTTCTCCCCTCTTTCCTATATTGTTGCATTATTTTCTAAATAAACATAAGTATCAAGTGTGATTTGCTTTGTTTGTTGAGTTCGCTGAAGTTGTATGATTTGAAGTGCCGCTATCACAGAATAGTTATTCCGTTCTATCCTAGGAGGAATTAATCCGTATACCTTGGGCAACAGTGAGGGGATTAAATTTCTTAAGGACACACTATGAATTCAGTGGGCTCGGATTTAATTTTGTTCTTCCTATGCATTTCTGTTTCTCTTTTACTTTACATGATTTTCTGATTTTGAACACATATTACCAACACTCTTTCTCTCTATGTCTCATATTATGTGTCGTGTTTCTCTTTTACACGCCCATTAAGAAATATTAATTAGGAAGAGATTAGACTATTCTACCCTTATTTATGTCTTAAGATATAATCTCTCTTAATTGAACATTTATTCTTATCTCTATCTTCAAGAACAATTATTACTAAGGGTAAAAAATAAAATAAAAAATAATCAATTTTGTCTTGAACTTCTAAAATGACAAATAATTTGAGACAACTATTTTTAGTAATCATGACTATTAATATGAGACGGAGGCGGTATTATATTACCCTCTCCGTCTCATATTAACATTTGGTTACTAAAAATAGTTGTCTCAAATTATTTGTCATTTTAGAAATTCAAGACAAAATTAAATATTTTATTCTTTTGTACCCTTAGTAATAATTGTTCTTGAAAATGTAAATAACACATAAAAATATAATAAATATTCAATGAACAGAGATCACGGAGAGAGTAATTATTATGCTAATTTTAGTGTGAATGACGAGATAGTTAATCAAGCTGCTATTTCCATTGTCTCTGTTTTCTCAATTTCTTACTTGGACGACTGACATATGTCCACTTTCAATTCTGGCATTAACCTCGGAATATTGAAATCGATTTTGCAAACAAAAAAAAAAAAAAAAAAAAAAAAAAAAAAAAAAAAAAAAAAAAAAAAAAAAAAAAAAAAACTGCTTTTCAACCAAACTGCTCGGCAGAAAAAATATGGAATAGTTTTAATTATTGCAAAAATTCAAAAACTTCTTTGGTGGAGTTTTGTTGAAACACAAATTTGCATATATTTATGCAAACACTGGCTTTTCAAATTTGTTTTTTGAAGCAAAAGCTATTATCTTGTCGTGGTGTTCCTGTCATCCTCTTTCCTGTAAGCTGCATAACTATAAAGTTGAAGATTTGTGAACCTTTAGGCATTTTGAGTGTGATTTACATGAAAGGAATATATTCAATATCATTTGAATTTTCAATAAACACCCTCCCCTCGTAATTGCTCACATTATAGAGAAAAGGCATAAGTTGCCCTTTAAATTTGTCCTGAAAAGTCATTTACACACTTTAACTTTACGGACGACACTATCACGTTTGAAGCTACTCGTGTTTTATTTAGTTAGTTAACTCTGTAGGCAGATTACAAAACTTTTGCCATGGGAAGAAAAATCTCAACTCTTGCAGCACTAGTCTTGCTAATTTTCATACTCATTATTCTCCTTTTTGTTGTAATCTCTAACAAAACAACAACAACTACTACTACTACTTCTAGCTTTATTTGCTTTCCCCCTGCCTGCAATTGTCTGCCTCGGCAGAAATTAAAGAACTCAATAACATACAATATATATGTGTTTGTAATTTCAGATGAGATGAGGATACCAACTATTATTATTTTGCTTTAGCAATGTTGGCATTTCAAACTTTTATGGTAATTTATGCATATTAATTCTCTTTTTCTGTTTAATAATCTACTTGTGTTACGTTCAAATTAATATGTCTTCATAAATAATTCAGCTTCCATCTTGTTATAGAAAGATAAATGAGCATGTTAGTTGAGCAGCAAATTTTCCTTTATATGTAGTTCCTACACTTTAATAAAATGTATGAATTGGACTATTGTCGAAAAATATTGCACCTTATTAATTTTGATGTCTGAAAACTAAGAAATGACCAAGAAGAAGAATAATAGCCTGTTTGCCTGTTTTGCACTTCTCAAGAGGCCAAAAATATTTTTTTTCTCAAATACATTTTTTTTCCCTAACTTGAGGTATTTGGCCAAGCTTTTTTGGAGGGAAAAAAAGTATTTTTCGGAAGAAACAGAATCAGTTTCTGAGAAACAGAAAAAAGTAGTTTCTTCCCAAAAGCAGAATCAGTTTTGACTTTTCTTCTTACCAAAAATACCCTTAACAAAATATAGTATATACCAAAATAACCGTTAAACCTAATACTTAGGATATTGATGTATAAATATTTCTTATTATTTTTAGGATAGCTTTCTAATATATAGTGACTTTAGGGGTGAATGATTTTTAATATATTTAACTTATATTAAAAGAATTAAGTACTTTTAAATTTTATTTTCATATTTTACTTAAATAAAATAAAAAGATTTAATTATTGCATGTAATAACAAAATTTTAAGATTATTTATTTACTTATAATATTAACTATTAAGTAAATTTATTCATGTCATTATTCGTAATTTGATACTTAAAAGCGCTTTCTGAAAAGCTTGACCAAACACTCAAAAGTGTTTTTCATAGTCATTAGCCAAAAACAAATTGTTTCTCTCCAAAGGTACTATTTTCAAAAATACTTTTGAAAAAAGTACTTCTCAAAATAAGTTGATTTCTCCAGCTTGGCCAAACAGGTTATAAGTCTCAGAGAGCATCAGTGTTATTTCCAATTTTCACTTGAAGATGAATTTTGAAATTTTTCGAAAATTTTAAAAACTCTAAAATGCTGTTTTTCAAAATTTTCACTCAGATCACTCACAAAAATTCAAAAATAACCCAAAATTATATTCATGTCCAAACACAACTCTAATTCTCAAATACCATTAAAAAAAAAATCACTTTTTCTGAAATTTTACAATTCTTATGTCCAAACGCCCACTCAGTGTTCCATTTAATCTTTTGTCTTCTCTAATTGACATTGTAACCATATCAAGAAATGCATATATTAAACTTACGTCCAGAATCTGCAGATTATATATATTGCATATTGACTCTCAAACGGAGCAACTAGAACTTCAATGGCATAACTCTATGTTAACCCCTAAAACTGGAAACTGGGCACCCTATTCCAATTGCAGAAACACTGAGAAGAAGTTATGAGAGATCAATCTGATAAGTTCATAAAATGAGATCATAGTATGAAATGTTTGTTTTACTCGTAAGCATATGTTTTGCCTGATCTAGTGACACTGCAAATTGCTAATAGTGGAAAATTAAGAACGTCGAGAAGTGGAGCATGCTGATTAGAAAGGATTCGGATAGACAGTTTACACTATCAGGTCACCAAAGATGACCGACTATAGGTAACCGTGGTCATAATAAGTGGGATTAGTAACCTGAATTAACCTGCTACAACAGGTTAAAGTACATTACACTGATAGTGTGTATATGCAAGTCAAAATATTTATGTATACTATCACATTTTGAGGCTTATCCATTTAAAGTATCAAGCATGTGTGGTTGTGTCTGTTTGGTCGCACCTTATCATCTTTTCTTTGAGAGAAAATGACTTTGATGGACTCAAAAACCTCATCAACAGGTTTTCCAGCATCAACCTGGATATTCAGACACAAGTCATGAGCAGTTGCTACTAAAATAATTCCATCTTATTCACAGTCAATATCTAACAATTTTTCACTACCCACCACCCTAAAGAACAATAGAATAAGATTTCGATTATACCTTCTTAACTTTTCCCTTTGATTCATAATATTGAACTGCAGGGAGAGTTGACTCCATGAAAACTTTAAATCGCTTCCTTATTGTCTCAATGTTATCGTCTTCTCTTCCCTGCAAATAGACAGTACCCAGTATTAAGTGGAAAAATCTTTCATAGCATAGCAATCAGACTGAACAATATATACCTCATTTCTTGTTAGCAAGCGCCTCTCCATTTCATCTTGTGGACAATCTAGATAAAGGACAAACTCAGGATCCATTTTTGTCTACATAGAAATCCCAAAACGACATATTTCAAATATAAGCATATCGGTGTGTTTCTGACTTCGTTAGAACCAATTGGATAATAATCTTACAAGATTCTCAAATGTTTTAACATTCTCTTCATTCCGGGGAAAGCCGTCAATAAGGAATTTGTCGCTATCCATTCCCCGCATGGCTTGTTGTAGAAGCCTCACTGTTACATCTGAAGGAACAAGCTTCCCCTCCTTCATAATTTTCTGAATCATAGAGCTGTAATAAACAGAATGAAAGAATAAAGACACTGTTGTGATATTTAAAATTCTTACCTAACAGAACTGTAAGCCTACAAAGCGGATACTATGATCTTTTGGTAAGTTCCATTCCAAGTAATACAATAGAGGACCTCCCAGAGGAAACTAATTGCATTGAATATACTCGAGGAGCATATCAGTTCACATTATAAGGTAAGAACTATGGAATTATCGAGAATTTGAAATGGTTGTTGAATAACATACCCAGTTTCAGAACCAGAATTGATTTCTTGACGTAGAAGCTCACCAACACTAAGATGAGTGTAGCCAAACTGTTGTGCTATTCTTTTGCATTGCGTGCCTTTACCACTCCCTGGACCACCTGTAAAATGAATAATAATAATTTGGAAATATCAATAAGGAGACGAGGAAGTTAAAAGTTTAAAAAGAGAGATAAAAAGAAACTGCAATATCACATGCTCTAACACAGGCAAATATCATAAGTATTCCTTGTGCTCAGGGACGTATTAGCTAGCATGGTATTTACGATTTACAAGATTGATCCTGGAAAGGTATAAGCACGCTCAAGCACGTTCAGAAAAAGGTTCTAGAGACTTAAATATATTAAATAATTATTCAAGAACTTGGTTTCAAGTCTGTTGCCAATATCTATTCCTTCAACCAACACCATTAAAATCCATTGTCCTGCTGCTGACTAAGCACTTGAATAAACATAGGCGGATGCAGTATTTAAGCTCTATGGGTTCAACCCTAAAGGTTTTTTGCCATGAACCTATTGTATTTTTAAATTATGGGTTCAAACCTACTACTTATTACAATTTTTGTAAAGTTTTACACATTAATTTGTGCTTTGCATCGAAAGTACTGGGTTCAGTTGAACCCGGTGTTGTAACTCTATATCTGCCTCTGTGAATAAACCTTAATCAAGAGACGGATCCAGGATTTAGACTAGGCGGATTCAACCTTAAAGGTGTTACAAATGCAACTATGAAGGGAGAAAAACATATACAGTTCAACATTTTCCTGAACTTCAGGTAAGTTCTCTATACATTACCATCCTAACAAAAGGCATTTAATAGGTCAATTTCACTTCTCTGGGAGGCATTTCGTGACTTATGCTTTTTTTTATTACTGCTAAACTTTGTCCTTTTTCTTCCTTTTGCGCTGGTGCTCGTGTATTTGGGCATGTGGAAGCCACGAAGAAAGTATGTCACCTCCAATCTTTAACACTTTCCACCAGGTAAACTTGGCAAAGTTGCATTTTTCATGATAAAACAAGAATACTAAATGCAGTTTAAATTTCATGAAAAGAAATACTAAATGCAGTGGACGTGATTAAAACATGCAGTGCAATTAAAGGAATTATGGAAGTCCCTTACCTATAACAAAAACAATTTTGACCATCTTCTGCTTTCCTGAGCCTCTATAACCTTCCTGCAAAAACGAGATATACCAATCAGATGATCAAGAAACAATACTAAATTATTTTTGCAACATTATAAGGTAGTAGGTCTAGTATCGTGATCACTTTCTTCAGTCCGTTTCTTCCTGAAACATGGAATCACACCACCTAAGTCAATGGTTCAATTCAAAAACTTAAAAGAGAACTATCAGAGCAAGACCGTATTACCTTAGTTGACAAAAACCATTGAATAACAATCAGATCAATGATAGATGCAATTTAAAACTCCAATCCTCATCGAACACAGAATGAAGAGAATTTACTTAATTGATAAAGCTAGCATACATAAGTAGTCATACAAAACCAGGGCAATTACCAAACAAACTTTGAATTTCTGAACTAGAAACACTCATGTTGAACAAGATTACGAACCAGGCCATGCCTTACCATGAAGAGTTCATGTGCACTCAGCAGTGAGCATGACATATCATGCAAAATGAAAAGCCCTAAAATAGGATTTTCTGAGAGATCCCAAAATTATGCTTCCACGGTTCAAATGCATTCAATATATGAAAAACTTTATTTCTAAGATTATAACTACTCAATAACTATTGAATTCTTGGTCACAAGCTTCAAATGTTCTTGACTGAAATAGTGAGTAATTATTTCAGTTTGCAATTCATTTCTCGTATTTACCAGTTATTTTCTTTAAATATCTAATTAAAAAAAAACAAGAATTGATTAGTTACTGTTATAAAAACCAATTACTATGATATATTGAGCATGGTTTCATGATCTCACTGAAAAAGCAAATCTCGCAAGCAAATGAACTAATTACTTGAAGGGCAGAGAAGAAAGACAGTAAGAAGTAAGATTAAGATGAACCTTGAGATGAATACTTATAACTAAGTCAAAATCACATATGCCAATGATATTGGGAAAACACCAAAGAAACTTCTCCCCACCTTGCGTGACTCCATCTTGGATTGCCCGAAGAACGAAAACGTTTAGTTGGTATATGTGCCTACAATATGCAGCAGTTACATTCATTGTTTCCATCAATATTCCCTTGAATTCCCTTATGCTAAAAATATATATAAATAAAAATTACAATATCGAACGTGAAACCTCCTGTTTGTAAAGCTTAACAAACTAAAAACTTTAAAATTGACCAACAATTCCACCAGATAAGGGAATCATACAGATCATACCAGTTTTTCATCTCAAACAAGAAGTTTAGTAATTGCAAAACTTGATCCTAATCCTACTTAAAAGCAGGCCAGGAGTATCATTAAATAATAATATTCATCTTCATATCAATTGTTTGAAGTTAGGGTAACGTCTGCGTACATACTAACCTCCCTAAGCCCACTGGGACTGGGTTTGTTGTTGTTGCATCTTCATATCATTGCTCAATGATTCATCTAAGACTAGGAGACAGCATAATAGTACTATTTATTTCACTTATTCAATAAATTATGCATGCCCCTTTTATCTAACCCGTTAAATTTTCCAAGAATTACACTTAAAAACAATAAATTAGGTTTCCTGAAATGATGATCAAGTCAAAGTTCACAAATTTGTATAAAAGAACGAGAATTTGACATAAATAATGAAAAACTAAAAGAAACCAAGCAAATTATATGGACATATCAGCATAGAGAAAAAGAAAAGTTTTGAGTGGGGAAAGAAGGTACCTTGGCTTGGGCAATACTGCAAAAACATTTGAGGCAGTTGAAGTAAGAACAGAACATATATGTAAGAGAAAGACCCGGGAGAATGGGAATAATTCTCAGTTTCTGTGTCAGCTTTTTGGCTTTGATTTATTTAATTCCTATGAAAAAGGAATTTTATTCTCCTAAAAATGGATTCGTTTTGGGTGGGAAATGGAAACTTCCAGTGTATAGGTGTCTCGCTTGACACCGTGACATGCCAACAATTTTTGCAACTAATACACTACGTTTAAATGATTATGAATTTAACTTTTATACAATACTAGTATTCATACCCGCATTGCGCGAAGAATATTAAATATAATTTTCATTAAAAAAAATTACTTAAAAACTACGATGCAAAGAAGTATGTAAATAATATTATTTTATGAACATTTAAATACAATGGATATTCATACATTCAAGTCTATTCAAATTCTATTATTTTTCTTGAATTAAAATTTTGTTACTTAAGTACTTGAAGAAATTGAAAAAAATCAGGATAAAGTTTGTATTTAAAATATTTAAAAATATTTATCATCTTTTTTATTTTCTTCATAAAATAGTAGATATTATTATTATATAAATCCGTCAACTGATAAATATTTGTGCAACAATATAAAATAGATGAGTAACAATATAATTAATAGGGAGGCGAGTGGCATGTGGACAATGACGGCGAACTGTATTAGGGAAGCTGCGAGGGAGGTGTAAGAGGTTTCAAAGGGTTACTCTAGTGGGCATAGAGGGAACTGGTGGTGGATGAAAAGGTTCAAGAAAAAGTGGAGACTAAGTGTCACGACCCGAAATTTTCCACCGACAAGACCGTGATGGCGCCTAACATTTCACTTGTTAGGCAAGCCAACGTTAGAGAATCATTAAACCAATTTCTTATTCTCATTCAGTAATTAACAATAATTAACTAAGATGAAATATGATAAGTGCGGAATATCATAAAACTGTATTAATTACTACCACCCGAATCTGGAATCACAATTCATGAGCATCCTAGAATTTACTACAAGTAATAGTGTGGAAGAAATACAATTATCTAAATGAAAGAAACAGTAGAATAGAAAAGATAGACGGGAACTTCAAGATCTGTGAATGCCGACAAATCTACCTTAAGTCTCCGGACAACGGACCAATAGCAAAATTTCAATCAACCCGAACCGGTATCAAAATCTACACAGAAAGTGCAGAGTGCAGTATCAGTACAACCGACCCCATGTACTGGTAAGTGTCGGGCCTAACCTCGACGAAGTAGTGACGAGACTAAGACAAGGCACCTATAAATCAACCTATACAATTTAACAGTGTATATACAAATAACAGAAATAAAGAACTAAACAGGAAATGTCAGGAGGGGAACATGCTGAGAGGAATACGAGATAAAGAAATACAAATGATAACCGGAGCAGCCAACATACCATGAATCAACACGAATAGTGAATACAGTAAAGGAAAAATGCACGGCATCACCCTTCGTGTTTTTACTCTCAATCTCACCAATAAATCAATAGAAACGGCACGGCATCACCCTTTGTGCATTAACTCTCATATCATGGCACATCATCACCCTTTGTACTTTTACACTCACAATATGGCACGGCATCACCCTTCGTGCTTTTACACTCACAATATGGCACGGCGTCACCCTTCGTGCATTAACACTCACAATATAGCACGGCATCACCCTTCGTGCATTAACTCTCATATCATGGCACGGCATCACCCTTCGTGCATTAATTCTCTCCCTTACCATAATGTAATGCATAAATGATATCAGGGAGATAGAATAACAAGTACAAACCTTACTTCAACATTTGGTTCCACAATATAAATCTAAACTTTTAAATAAATACTCGATTACCAACAGAAAATCCGTAAACATGATAATGACGATCAATTTAACAACACTAGTATAAACATGTAGCAATTAGGCATAGGAAGAGACAATATAAGAAAATGGAAGAAACATGGAAAAACAGGTAAATTGGCGGCACATAAGTACTCGTCACCTCACATATACGCCGCTCCCATGAATTTCACTTAGTAAATAATCTAAGGTTCCTAATTCCCTCAAGTCAGGGTTAGACACAATACTTACCTCGCTCTGAAGGCCATTTAATTCTCAATCACAGCTTTTCTTTTGGAATTCACCTCCAAACCACTCTTATCTATTCAAAAATGACTCAATAATATCAAATATTGCTAAAGAAATCAATTATATTGCATAAATTAAATTTTCCAAATTTTTCTCCAAAAAGTAGAAAAATCGACCACGGGCCCGCTTGATCAAAACCCGAGGTTCGGACCAAAATTCATTTACTCATTCACCCCCGAGCCCGAATATGTAATTAGTTTTGAAATCCGACATCAAATTGAGATCTACATCTCCAAATTTGTAAAATTCCCAATTCCCCCAAAATCCTTAATTTCTACCCTTAAAGAATAAGATAAAAGACTAGGAATTTAATAAATGATGATGTAAATTGAAGAAAATAAGTTAGAAAGTGCAAACCTATGATTGGGTGTCGAAATACTTCTTCAAAAATCACCCTAGGTCGAGTTCTATGGAAGAAAATATGAAATTTTGAACAAATCCCGTTTGAAGTCTGTTTTAAAACACTGGACAGGCCTTCATCGCGTTCGCAAGAGGCCTGTCGCGATCGCGATGCACAACGGTAAGGCCTTTGCGTTCGCGAGTCTTTCTACGCATTCGCGTAAGGCAGTTCCCCCCAAGCCTTCGCGTTCGCGACCCAGTGGACGCGTTCGCGTAGAAGAACATGACCCCCTCCCCCAGGTCCCTTAACATATCGCGTTCGCGAAGGATACCACCCCCAGTCCTTCGCGTTCGCGAAGAAGAAATTACCTCCCAGCCTAGTTTACACTTCGCGATCGCGAAGCACAAAATGCCTGTGCACCAGCAACAGCAAAACAACAGAAATTCTAAGTCCGAAACATCCCGTAGCTTATCCGAAACTCACCCGAGCCCTCGGGGCTCCAAACCAAACATACACATAAGTCTAAAAATATCATACGGACCTGCTCGCACGATCAAATTGCCAAAATAACACCTGAAACTCCGAATTTAGCACCAAATCAAAAGAAATTCTCAAGAACACTTTAAAATTTCTATTTTCTCAACTAGACGTCCGAATCACGTCAAATCAACTCCGTTTCTCATCAAATTTCACAGACAAGTCTTAAATATCATAATGAATCTGTACCGGGATCCGAAACCAAAATACGAATCCGGTACTACCAAACATCAATCAATTCTTAAAAACAAATAATTTCCAGACTTTTAATTTTCATCAAAAATTCATAATTCAAGTTAGGGACCTCCGAATTCGATTTCGGGCATACGCCCAAGTCCCATAATTCGATACGAACCCACCGGGACCATCAAAATATGGATTCAGGCCCGTTTACCAAAAATGTTGACCGAAGTCAAATAAAATCAACTTTTTAAGGCATAAATTCTTATTTTCATCAATTTTCAACATAAAAACTTTCCGGAAACCTGCCCGGACTGTGCATGCAAAATCGAGGAGGGTAAAAAATAGATTTTTAAGGCTTAAGAGCGCAGATTCGAGTTCTAAAATATAAGATGACCTTTTGGGTCATCACACTAAGAAAGTGGCCTACTTGAAGTTAGTGGAGAGCACAGACGAGAAGGAGAGAAAAGCGAATAGAGAAGGGTATAAGAAGGCTAGGAAGGAGGCGAAACTAGCAGTCACGGAGGCCAAGAATGCAGCGTTTGGTCGCTTGTATAAAGAATTAGGGGACGAAGGCGGGGACAAAAAGTTATTTCGACTGGCCAAGGCGAGAGAGAAAGAGAGAGAGAGAGAGAGAGGCGCTTGATCTGAATCAAGTGAGGTGCATCAAGGACGAGGACGACAGAGTTTTATGGATGATGCTCAGATTAAGCAGAGATGGCAGATTTACTTTCATAAAATTCTGAATGAGGAGGGTGACAGAGACATGTGTGTTGGGTGATTTGGAGCACTTCGAGAGTCGCCGTGATTTTGGATATTGTAGGCATATTAAGGTCGAGAAGGTAATGGGAGCTATGCGTAAGATGAGCAGGGGTAGAGCGACTGGGCCAGATGAAATTCCGGTTGAATTCTGGAGGTATGTGGGTAGAGAGGGCGTAGAATAGCTGACCGGATTATTTAACGTTATTTTTAGGACGAAGAAGATGCCAGAGGAATGGAGATGGAGTACGATGATTTCGTTGTAGAAAAACAAAGGTGATATCCAGAATTGTAGCAACTATAGTGGTATCAAGTTGCTTAGTCATACTATGAAAGTGTGAAAAAGGGTGGTGGAAGTGAGGGTAAGGAGGTCGGTGTCTATATCAGAGAACCAATTCGGGTTCATGCCTGGTTGTTCAACTACATAAGATATCCATCTTATCAGGAGGTTGGTGGAACAGTATAGAGATAAGAAGAATGATTTATGTATGGTGTTTATTGACCTAGAGAAAGCGTACGACAAGGTCCCGAGAGGGGTTCTTTGGAAGTGCTTGGAGACTAAATGTGTTCCGGTAGCATACATTATGGTGATTAAGAACATGTATGATGGAGCTAAGACTCGGGTTAGGATAGTGGGAGGTGACTCGGAGTATTTTCCGGTGGTTATGGGTTTACACCAAGGATCTGCGCTCAATCCTTTCCTATTTGCCTTGGCGATAGATGCTCTGACGCACCATATTCAATGAGAGGTGCCATGGTGTATGTTATTTGCTGATGATATAGTCTTGATTGATGAAATGTGAGGTGATGTCGGCAAGAGGCTGGAGGTTTGGAGACAGACCATGAAGTCTAAAGGTTTCAAGTTGAGTAGGACTAAGACATAATACTTTGAGTGCAAGTTCAGTGACATGACAGGGGAAGTGGACACTGACGTGAGGCTTGATTTACAAGTCATCCCCAAGAAAGGGAACTTTAAGTATATTGGGTCAATTATCCAGTGGAATGGAAAGATCGAAAATGATGTCACACACCGTATAGGGGCGGGATGAATAAAATGGAGGTTAGCATCTGACGTCTTGTGTGACAAAAAGGTGCCATCGGAACTTAAAGGCAAGTTTTATAGAGCGGTGGTTATGTTAAATGTGGTAGAGTGTTGGCTAGTCAAGAATTCTCATATCTAGAAGATGAAAGTAGCAGAAATAAGGATGTTGAGGTGGATGTACGGGCATACTAAGTTGGATAAGATTAGGAATAAAGATATTCGGTCTAGGGTAGGGGTGGCGCCCATAGATGATAAAATGCGAGAAGCGAGTCTTAGATGGCTTGGGCACGTGTGGAGGAGAAGCATTGACGCCCCGATTAGGAGGTGCGAGCGGTTGGCCTTGTCAGGTATGAGAAGAGGTAGAGGGCGACCTAAGAAATATTGGGAAGAGGTGATCAGACAGGACATGACGCGACTCCAGCTCACCGAGGACATGACCTTAGATAGGAAAGTTTGGAGGGCAAGCATTAGGGTCGTAGGTTAGTAGGTAGTTGAGCGTTTTTCTTCCCCGTTGAGGGTGTAGGCTAGTTTGTTAGTGTCTTGCTTTAGTTTGTTAGTGGTACTTGTTGCGTTCGTACTATTTTTCTGCACTGGTTGCCTAGTACCTTTCCATTGTTCTGATTATTGATAGTGCCTTTTCTAATTTTTTTTCTATTTCTTAGGTTGTTGGCATTGTCTTCTTGACGTATGTTGTTATTACTATTCCATTGCCTCTTTTTCATTTCCTTGTGCCGAGGGTCTTTCGGAAACAGCCTCTCTATCCCCGTGGTTGGGGTAAGGTCTACGTACACACTACCCTCCCCAAACTCCACACATGGGATTATATTGGGTTGTTGTTGTTGAAAAGTTGTTTGATTTGATAGATATATATCTTTTGGAGAACATTTTGGCCGATCAAGAAATCTTGCTATGGTACACAATTTTATTTATATATTGTTCGTAACAATTGTCACCGTTTGTGAGAATGCTGAAATCTGCTCGCATAGTTGGATCAAAGAGAAATTTTGAGAATAATAAAATTTTAATTAAGAAGATGTTTGTGATGGAATTAAGGACAATAGTTTTACTTTTTATTTTTTTAAAGACATGGGTTTTTCTACATTATATAATAAGCAATTAGACTTTTTTCTATTTTATTTTCAATCTAAATTTTTGATTTTTACATTTTATTACTTTGTCCAACATATATGTTCATTATTTGTATAAAATGTATCAATAAATTTAGAATTATTTTTCTATATTATATGGAATAAGCAATTAGCCTTATATTTTTATTTATTTTCAATATAAAATTTTGTTTTTTATATTTTTTACTATGTTGATTGTAATTGTTTCAAATTTAAATTAGACTTTTCTTCTATGTTTAAATTCAGCTTCAAAATAGTAACTAATTATTAACAACACCTAGTGCATAATTTATTTATTTTTAAAATTTAAATTCAAAGAGAAACTAATTATTACCTAACTAAACTAATTTTGTCCTAAAATTGTCAAGTGGCTTTTTATTATGTTGTCACTTGGCTTACTATGGTATTTTTACCTCTCCTTTTATTATATATATATATATATATATATATATATATATAGAGAGAGAGAGAGAGAGAGAGAGAGAGAGAGAGATTTATAAATAATGCTTCTATATATTATTTATTGACTTTATAATTGTATCTTGTTTTTTTTGTGTGTTCTAAATGTTTTCATGAATAATTGTAAAATTTATCAAGTGTCTTTGTAGTATCTTAACAATTGGCTTAATCTTATGAATAATAATTTTTAATCCTAAAATTGCGAAGTGACTTTTTATTATGCTGTTAGTTGGCTTAATATGGTGTCTTTGCCTCTCCTTTTATTATGTATAGATAATATAATATATAACACATAGATATCTCCTTTAATATAACATAGATAATATAGATTTCTCACTTCGTCCAAAATATATGTTCTTTCGTTATTTTATATAAAATGTATCAATATTCTTAATCTTTTTCCCCACATTATATAATAAGCAACTAGACTTTTTTTCTATTTTATTTTCAATATAAAGTTTTGATTTTTACATTTTTTACTTCATCCAAAATAAATTTTTTATTATTATTTGTATAAAATGTATCAATATTTTAGATTTTTTTTTATATTATATGGAATAATCAATTAGCCTTTTCTTCTATTTTATTTTCAATATAAAATTTTGATTTTTATATTTTTTACTATGTTACTTGTAATTGTTTCAAATTTAAAATAGGCTTTTCTTCTATGTTTAAATTCAAATTCAAAATAGTAACTAATTATTAACAATACATAGTGCATAATTTATTTTTAAAAAAATTAAATTAAAAAAAAACTAATTATTACCTAACTTAACTAATTTTGTCCTAAAATTGACAAGTGACTTTTTATTATATTGCCACTTGACTTACTATGGTGTCTTTGTCTCTCTTATTTTATATAGATAAATTGATAGTATAATTAGTTTTTTAAAATATTATTATTTCAATTTAATTTATTATAATAAATAACGTATGTTTAAAATTATTAATCTTACTTCTTATGAATTGTTACATGTCACATCCTTGAGAGGTGATTGATAACATAAAAAATTTATATTATTAGTATATAAAAGTTAAATTCAGTGATTATTCTCTTTTTGAAAAATAAATAATTTTTAATATTGTGTTTTGATTCTTAATTACTATAAGCCCAATCCGTTAGATTTTTAAAAATTGTTAGTGAATGGATCAAAGCGCATAATTTCACTTATTAAAGTTTAAAAGTGCTTAGTTTGATATTATAATGATGAAAATTGAAATCTAACTATAATGAAGGTACCATAATTATTGTTTTTTTTCTTCCGAAAATTATCTTAATTTTGTTATATGTGGAGAGTGTCTAAACCCCTAGTCAAATCCAAATTACTTAAAAGCAAGCTACTTCACTTTTCTTGACGGCATAACTTTGTATTCTTTCTCTTTTTCGTCTTCTTCTTCCTCATTTTCCATTTCATTTTCCTCTTTCTTGCAAAAAACTATTGCTGGCAATTTTGTTTTTGATAGTTCGTTCAATTTGAATGACGATTCGTGAGAGGATGATTATACCTACCACGTAAAGATAGGGAAGGAGCCATAGTGTCGGCTACATATTCAGACGAACCCATTAATTTTTGTTCAAACTTCATATTTATTGCAAATTCGATAAAAAAATTTAACCATAACATAAATTAGCATCATGCGTCTTGTCGCGAATATGAAAAACATTATCATGTTAAGAGCTCGTTTGCAATAAGAAATTTTTTCCCTTTTTTTTAAAAAAAAATACTTCTTTCGAAATCGGCGTTTGTTCATAAAATTTTCAATTTTCACTTGAAGATGCATTTTGAAAATTTTCAAAAATTTTAAAAACTCAAAAAAACTGTTTTTCAAAATTTTCACTCAAATCACTCACACAACTTCAAAAATAACACAAAATTATATTCATATCCAAACACAACTCTAAATTTCAAATACCATTTTCACTTGAAAAAGATTTTCCCCCTATTTTAGAATTTTACAATTCTTATGTCCAAACGCCCACTAAATTTGGGCTTCATTAGATATTACAATAGAAAACGAGGGAAGAAAATGAAACGGAGCCACAACCTACGACAATTATGGGGGAAAAAATTGTGAACAAAGTAGTACCACATTTTGTCAATCCGACAAGACTTATGAACTATTTAACTGTAAAGAAGATAGTACCAACTTTTTCACATCAGTTAGTACTTGGGCCAATTAAACGAGATTCGAACCAAAATGTGATTCTTTTGGACTCAAAGAATTAAAATATATGGGGAAAAAACTTAGTGACAATTTTATATATATAACGCCCTTTTAAAGGGCGCTATACCTTAACAACAGTTTGCCCAGTTAAGTATAGCGTCATTTTAAAAGGCGCTATATATATAACGTCTTTCCGTACCGCGCTATACATATTATGTGGGGCCACCAATAATTCTTCTGGGCTTAACTGACATAACAATAATTCAACTGGGTATAACGCCCTTATTTAAAGCGCTATACCTAAAACAATTGTACCCTCGGATTAGTTTTTGCCTTATTTAAAGAGGTTAAGGATTTTAAAAAATCCATTCACAAATATTCTCAAGTCTTCTGAAATATTTCTTCGTTAATTTGTTTTGCATTTTATCATAATATCTAAAGAGTGAAGAATAAGGGATTCATTATATTGGGGGGGAGGAGAGGGTTGAGGTTGTGGTGGCGAATAACTCAGTAACCTATAGTTTATCTCCACAGTGTCATGTTAAGTTGCCAGTTACAATGGAGTACAATACATTGGTATCGTTGTTATGTAAAAAATGAGTATGAGCAAACGTTCGGTGAACGTTAAAGTAACCGGAAGATATTCAGATTCTGACACTCCGCAAGGAGTTGCTTGTTATGCTGAGTTTAACATCGATGACGATGAAACTCTGAGAGATTTGTTGAGGACTCCGGATGAATACCGGGAATTTCTTGTGATAAAAATGTTGGAAATGTACGTCAAGGTTGAAGATGTTCGCAATAATGAGGTTGCGCAAGGCAGGGATATCCCTTAGTCATCAGGTGGTTATTTTGAAGCAGTTTTAGCCGAATAGGTTTCGGCTGAAAAAGTTTGGCCTGATTTAAACTTATCTCCACGGGCGAATGAGGAGCGGGGAAATAATTTCTCTCC